AAAATATATATATATATATATATATATATATATATATATATATATACTTGTATTATATTCAGTGCCCTACATAAGTATTGGAACAGTAAAGACAAAATTTCTCTGTTTGCTGTGGAGTCAAGAAATCTGTAAATATGATTAAAAGATGAATATGAGACAAAATTACAAATTGTCACATTTTATCATTGGGTGTTTCAACACATACATGTTTTACCAACTAAGAAGATCAGCACTTTTAGAGTTTCATCCCCCTATCTGATGTGAGCATAAGTATTGGAACAGTTGCCTCTCAGGTCTTTCTAAGTGATCAACTGTGTCCTGTTGCATTAATTCTTCAGATATTAAAAGCAGGGAATGTGTCGTATCAGTTATATCCATTACTTCTGTATTCTGAGTCTTGCATTCGATGACGACACACACAAACCAGAATGAAGACGAGGGAGCTGACTTTGACAGAAAAACAAGCAATTTGGATGCTAAAATAAAAGAGGAAGTCAATTAAAAACAAAGGGCATAGAGAAATCAAGAGTTTGGAAACCACCGGCGACATCAGCAACCAGCAACGACCTGATCGGCAGAGAAAAACAGCAGTAGTTGATGACAGACAAATCATAAAAGCTGTGAAAAAGAACCCTAAAATACATGTCTGTAAAATCACCAACAACCTTTAGAAACCTGGGGTGATGCTCTGACAATCTACAGGAGACTTAGATAGAATTACAGAGGCTACACAGCAAGATGCAAACCTCTGACAAGCACCAAAAACAGAAAGGCAAGATTAGAGTTTGCAAAAGCCAGTAGAGTTTTGGAAAAGAGTTTTATGGACAGATGAGACAAAGATTAACCTTTATCTAAGTGATGGGAAAGCAAAAGTGTGGAGAAAAAAAGGGAACTGCAAATGATCTTAAGCATACATCCTCATCTGTAAAGCATGGTGGAGGTGGTGTCATGGCTCATGGCATGTGTCCCAATACTTATGCTCACATCAGGTAGTGGGGATGAACTCTAAAAGTGCTGGTAAAAGGTAAAACATTTGAAACAGCTAATAATAAAATGTGACATTCTGCAGTTTTGTCTTATATTCATCTTTTGATCATATTTGCAAATGTCTTGACGCCACAGCAAAAAGAGCAATTTTGTCTTTACTGTTCCAATACTTATGGAGGGCACTGTATATATATATATATATATATATATATATATACTTGTTTATACTATATTTTTTGTTTTCCTGCTTCAGATCAAAGCCTTCAGATCATTGTCACAATCATCCTGTAAGCATCTTGTGTAAATGGTGTCTGCTTTCAGAGGGAAGGCAGGCGTGTGAAGTCCACAGGAGATGAGGTGGAGCGAGAGAGCTCCCCTCAGCCGGTTAAGAGAAGAGGAAGGATAGGAGAAAGAGAGGAAAACTCTGTTTTCTACGCCAGACCTGTGAGAGTCCGCAGACACCCTCCCACAAACAGACCCCCTCCTAGAGCCGCAATAGGTGAATGCTGAATAAATAAAAAATAGTATCTCATACTGTGTCTAAAATGTAACCTTTTATTTAACTGTGTGATATTGTTTGTGTTAGATGAGCCCAGTGTGTTTAAGGCCTCTGAGAGCAGGATGAGAGAGGAGGTTCGAGGTGCTGAGGAGGTCGCAGAGGATGAAAACACAGCTGTAGAGCGTCACATTGACCAGGTACACCTCTCATCTTCTTTTGTCTCATCTCATCTCGTCTACTATAAAAATGTTTATAATTTCAGAGAGAAGCAGAAGTTGTGGAGGATGAGGATCTTCTTGAAAGTAACCAGTTTGATACAGCCAACATAAATCATGTGAGTGTGTGAAATACACATATATGTAATGATGACTTGATCATGAAATAATTGTTTGTTGTATTAAAGAGAAATTCAGCTGAACTACACAGGCCATCAACTGATCTCTCCAGTGAGAGCAGAGAGAAAGAGTTCGTAGTGTCTGAGAGGGAGACATGGGACGACACGTCAGCTCCACAGAGAGAAGCACAGCAGGGATACACGTCCAGCAAAGAGTCTCAGCATGATATAAACAAACATGATGCTGTAAGACGCAGTGCATTGAGCATTGACCTTATTTTTTTTTTTGCATTTTTATGTCTTATTTGTGTTTCACTTAGGCTTCACTATATATATATATATATATATATATATATATATATATATATTGTAGATATAGTTGTAATAATTATAAATATATTGTAAATTCTTAAACATTATTAAATGAAAAAATACATATTATACTTAAGAAATGACATTTATTATAATATATTATTAACAATCAAAAATATTCCAATATATAAAAAGCTCATGCTAAGAATGCAAGATTGCAAAGTCGATAAACAATGTGGGAAGACTGATGTAAATGTTTAATTTACAATGATTTATGCAAATGGGGGACTGTGAACAATTCAGGGTTATGAAAAAAGTTCAAAAACCTTAGAGAAACCCGCTGTAATAAAAAAACACTTTTCATTATAAGCATATTTGTAATAATATTTATGCAAAAATGTCAATTCTACTATTATTATGCAGCAAGTTGTGTTTGCATGACACCAAAATGGCCCATGACCTCACCTGTCCTCATCCTCTTCCAGTCGTGAGTCTGTGAGGATCGGCCCAGGATGACATACTTGCCAATGGGACTGTGATTATCATATCCACGACTCCATCTCAGCTCAACTGATGTGTCATTGACACTAGTCATCAATAAACCTCCAGGAGGTCCTGGTGGTCCTGTAAAGGAAGAAACATTTAGCTTTACCAGAGAATAAACTTTTTTTTTTTTTTTTTCATATTTATATTCATGCACACACAGCAAACAAATATGTTATTAAAGTGGTTTAGTTGGGTCTGCTTTCTTTACAAAATCTGTACCAAACAGGCATATGGGAACCAAACCCCAAGGATACAGATCTGCTAAAGTTATATTTCACGACTCTACATTTCATGCATTCTCACAGGTGTCCCAATACTTATGCTCACATCAGGTAGTGGGGATGAACTCTAAAAGTGCTGGTAAAACATGTATGTGTTGAAACAGCTAATAATAAAATGTGACATTCTGTAGTTTTGTCCCATATTCATCTTTTAATCATATTTGCAAATGTCTTGACTCCACAGCCAACAGAGCAATTTTGTCTTTATTGTTCCAATACTTATGGAGGAGACTGTATATTAGTGCTGTCAAACGATTAATCGCAATTAATCGCATCCAAAATAAAATAAAAAAACACTTTTCATTATAAGCATATTTGTAATAATATTTATGCAAAAATGTCAATTCTACTATTATTATGCAGCAAGTTGTGTTTGCATGACACCAAAATGGCCCATGACCTCACCTGTCCTCATCCTCTTCCAGTCGTGAGTCTGTGAGGATCGGCCCAGGATGACATACTTGCCAATGGGACTGTGATTATCATATCCACGACTCCATCTCAGCTCAACTGATGTGTCATTGACACTAGTCATCAATAAACCTCCAGGAGGTCCTGGTGGTCCTGTAAAGGAAGAAACATTTAGCTTTACCAGAGAATAAACTTTTTTTTTTTTTTTTTCATATTTATATTCATGCACACACAGCAAACAAATATGTTATTAAAGTGGTTTAGTTGGGTCTGCTTTCTTTACAAAATCTGTACCAAACAGGCATATGGGAACCAAACCCCAAGGATACAGATCTGCTAAAGTTATATTTCACGACTCTACATTTCATGCATTCTCACAGGGCTGAGAGCTGAGAGTTGTCTGGGCAAAAATTATCAAGCTGAGATAAAACACAAGAGCAGGGCTGTGGAACAGCCACAGGCTACAGGCTGGTGAACTGAGCTTTAATAAGGTCTCTATCACTGCTTGGCCAGCTGGAAGCCCTCACCCCTCACAACCAGCTTGGCTGAGGCCACAGCACTGTCCACCACCGTCTGGGCCGTGCAGGTGTATGTGCCAGCGTGACTGAGCTGTCCGTTCACTATCAACAGGTCACCAATTGTCTCTTTCTATATAAAATGACAGTGAAAAGAAAAGTAAACTGTGTTAGGAAGAAGTATTAGCCCACTTCAACTTCATAGGAGCATTATCATGGTTTTTATTACATGCTTAATCTGGAGAGGTTTCGAATTTGGGATTTTAAAATTGACTATATATAATATGTCTAAAAGGCATTTACTTTGAAGTGAATCCTATTAAAGCTAATCTCTGAGTGTGTGAGGAGCCTGCTGCTATTGGAATACAAATTTTAAATATTAAGAACATAACTAGATTTACACATTTTATTAAAGTGTAAGTGGTATTTGCTCGGGTGTTGTGGGTGGTTGTCAGGGATCCTCTATGCTCTAAGTTGTTCTTAGAATGTTGCTATGCTGTTGCAATGGCACAGCAAAGTGTCAAATCGCTATGACCTTCCCTAAATATAGCTTGGGTCCTTGCAATGCCGGTTTATGGGATTTTTTGTTGTTTTATCATCTGCCAGGCAAAAATCCTGAGTCTAATTGCTTAGAAAAGTCATGACACATCTCTTAACAAGCAGTATTATGAATAAATCAGCGCCTTGCAGTACAAAATCAAACTAAAATACACTACAGTCAAAACGTTTTTATAAAAAGATATATCAAATAAATGCTGTTCTTTTGAACTTTCTATTCATCAAAAATAAAATAAAAATTTCCATGACAATAATAAAAAAATACATTTTAAAATGTATTACAATAGAAAACAATTATTTTAAATTGTAATAATACTTCACAATATTACTGTTTTTACTGTATTTTTTTATCAAATTAACACAGCCTTGGTGAGCATAAGATACTTAAAAAAAAACATTTTTAAAAAATCTTACTTAAGAGTTACTTAAGAGTTAATGTACAGAAGTTCACAGTTTTTAAACACACGTCAAGTGCTCACCCCCTCCAAACGCCGATAGTGTCCATTTGGTTCCTCTAGGTCCAGCAGAACTCCACTGAGGGACCAGGTGAAGGTGAGATCCATAGTAGGGTCATGTGACGCATGGCACTGCAGAGTGGCATTTTCACCCTGATTGATGTCAGCATTAGAGGGTGCTAATGTGATTTTTGTGGCATCTGTTTGAGAGAACAGAGTGAAAAACATAACTTTATACACTGAAAGCATCTGCGCCCACATTAGTATTTTAAAGATTTACATGCAGATCAATAAGACAAAAACACACTCAGGCTTGAAATCAAGACATAACATAAGATATGTGCACAATGAACATGCAGATAGAGAGCTGATAAAGGAGCTTACATCCAAAGCAAACTAAGCTAAAAAGTCTATAGGTGTGTCGAGAAAAGTCCAGATTTTGCTTAACCGTTAATGACATTTCCCGATAAAGAAACACTGTTTATGGGTTTTACGTGATCTTACACTTTTCAAGTGTAATCTGTGTAAAAAAAACTATGCATATAAACTCTCACTGCTGCAGCAATATTTAGTGTCAAACAGATAACCTGAGACCTTTAAAGTAGATAAACAAAAATGTTGGTTTTGTTACCTCTGACAGACAGGTGTGCCGTGCTGTTGGCTTTGCCAAGGTAGTTTTCTGCAAAGCAGGTGTACTTTCCCTCATCGGCCCGACTGATATTGTAGATCCACAGAACCCCATCTGGAGTGACTGTTATCCTGGAGAAAATTCATCTTTTTGAGACCACTGTACTCAAAGCATCTACAAACAGCTCACAAGGCCATTTTTCTGTCAGTAATAATATATACAAATTTTAAAGCATTTAGGAGGTCTTTGAAACATTACTGGATTACCTGGTACTATTGGTCAGTAGCTCTGTGCCACGGCTCCAGAAGAGAGTGGGTTTAGGAGCCGCCCGAGGTTTACACTCCATTTTCACCAGTCCACCACGGGCAGCAGGAACCAGCTTCCGCACTGGATTTAACCTGAAGTCTGGAGCCTGGACTAAAATAGGGCGACAGGACGGGGAGGAAGGGAGATGGGGAACCATACAGAGAGGATTTAAACACAGATCATACTATAATTGGGGTTCAGGCATGACTGGGTGAGCAGAAGGGGATTTGAAGTGCATTAAGGTAGATAACAAGAGAAACATGTCAAAGTTTATGCAGTTGTATTCTGATTTGCTTTCAGTTTGAGATTAGTTTGTGCTCACCTTGAACTCTGAGCTCAGCGTTTGAGTAAACGGTGCCGTGTTTGTTTTCGGCTACACACTGATACATCCCGGAATCATCCAAGGCGAGATTACTGATCCTCAGTCGCCCGTTATTCACTTCCACACGGTCCTGCACACAGGTAATTGTAAGAGACATGATGCACATGCACATTAATGCCAGCAGAGGTCCACACAACATTTCTCTTGTCAATCTACCTGCAGCTGAAAAAATAATGAGCAGGTTATTCACTGTCACATCTCACTGCCTCTTAGACATGAAGAGCTTTCTAAAAATGATTTAGCATATATCAGTCTGAGTCTTGACAGCTAGAGGTCCTGTTCATTTCTGATAACACACACATTGTCAGATGACAATCCAGCTACAGTTAAGTGTGTGTGCGCACATATATGGCTGACCTGTGTGGTGAGGGGCTGTCCGTTACGGAGCCAGCGAATGGTGGGTCTTGGTTTGCACGCAGCAGCACAGCTCCACTGCAGCTCCGAACTGATTTCCACCTCAGAGTCACTCATGACCTGAAGCCACTCAGGCTGGGCTGGGAAGCGAGAACACATACAAACCAGCAGATTTTTACTTCTCTCCCTAATAAGTGGATTGATGTGTAATTATTTATTAGCAGCTCAGTCTGTGTCCTCCGCTATATTTTCAGATATGCTCGTATCAAACTACTGTATATCAATATAACGGTATTGCCTCATATCGAATCGCTTATAAAGAAAATATCGAT